GGGGGGGGTTGGTGAGTAGCTGTTTTGTGTTGTTTGTCCTGTAGGATTCAGCAGCTATATATATCTATTAGGGGGGAGGGGGCTCTCGTGGCCTTGAGGTTAAGCTGTTGGCCTCTCATTCAAAGGTCCCGGGTTCGAATCCGGGGAGCGACGGTACAATTTTCTTCTCTAAAATTGTCTCTTTTCACATCCTTTCCTGCTCACTAGCAATGCTTTGGCGTCTATTTTCGTCTCCACTTTCTGCCCCACCCCATCACCTCCTTTGCCCCCTCCTCTGAGCTCCTGACTCTTTCTACAGCCTTTCCACTGCTACCCCTTGGCTCCTTCTTACTGCTGTCTTTCAGCCTCACCCCTGATCTTCCGGTAGGAAAGATCTACACCTAGCCTTCTCGAGACAAGGGTGAAAAATCTCGGAGGTCCCGTGTGCAAGTTGTGCACGTTAAAGGTCCCTTGGTGGTCTAAAGTCAATAAGAGTACGCTTATGTTTATATAACTTTGAAAAAAATCCCAACTGTGATAAATTCTTGCACGTGGTTCTTGTTAGAGTATGTTGTATTATTGTCAGCTATTATTTATTTTTCTTCATATTGACATTCTCCTGTGAAAGTAATATTATACAATTGAAATTATATGTATATCTACATGTATTTTGACCATTCCCGTAAAGCCACGAAAAATTTCCCTCTAGGACAAGGAAATATTATTTCATTTTTAATCTAATCTTATTAACAAAATTGCTGCACAGTGAATGTTTGTTCCAGTAAGTGGTCTGGATTATTTGCAAAAAGCCTTGGGGGGTTTTTAAGATTCTGAAGCAAGAGTAAAAGTGTCTCTGTCGAAGTCGACTGTGGAAAGAGCCGACAGATGGTTTCATATGGATTCTCGTCTGGTTTTAACAAACTTTTGAAATCAGTAATTTTGTTACTCAAATGTGTGTGTTTGTGCGTGACTTTTTAAATTTGATTCGATATTCGTTGCCTTTTATAGAAGACCGCTGATTGTCTAAACTCTCAAGTAGATATGCTTGTGAGATCATCTTTCGTTTTGTTTCTATTTTTATAAAAAGCTTTTAACGTTTAGGTGAACTGCTTGTTCGGAGCATGTGTGTAAATGTTTATTTAGTCGGTTATGCATCTGGTATATTGGCGCATGTCTGTATTTTGTTGTTGTTTAGCATTATCATTTATGGGTAAGAGTTTGTAAAATTTCCCTGAGTTTGTCATGAGATGTGCAATAAATTTAATGCTTAACGATGTTTGTCTGAAGAATGTGTTTTTGTTTTGATGTTGTGAGTTTCTATAATGTATTGGTTTCTAACTTATATGACATGTATGTTGTTACAATCATACGTGGGTAGAACAAAGGGGGCTCTCGTGGCCTAGAGGTTAAGGTGTTGGCTTCGCATTCAATAGGTCCTTTGTTTGAATCCAGATAGCGACGGAAAACTTTCTTCTCTAAAATTGTCTCCTTTCACATTTTTTCCTGTTCTATAACATTATTTTGTCGTCTGCTTTCGTCTCCACTTTCTGCCCTAACCCCCTCACCTCCTTTGCCCCCTCCTCTGGGCGCCTGACTCTTTCTACGGCCTTTCTACCGCTACTCCTTGGCTCCTTCTTAGTTACTGGTGCCTTTCAGCCACACCCCTGATCTTATGATAGGAGAGATCTACACCTAGCTTTCTCGGATAATGGCAAAAAATCTCAGAGGTCTCGGGTGCAAGTTGCGCGCGTCAAAGATCTCTTGGTGGTCCAAAAATCGATAAGAGTAGGCTTCGACCGGCATCCGAGCAAAATTCAAAATTCCCTACCAACTGAAAATGTTTTATGTATTCCACGCGCTCTTATGACCTTATGCATGTGCGAACGCCGTAAAACACTTACCCCAAAAAAGGGTAAAACAGAATTATTACTGTGGTATATTATATTACCTTAACTGGTTTGTTTCGAACCATTGCATCTGATTGACTTATAATCGACATGTTGATCAGTTACTTCCTTCCTTTTGTAGTCTTTAGAGGTAAGAAATGTCCGCATGGATGGTTTGATAATTTACTGTTGTGTTTTGTGTCATTGGTTTACAACTTTTATTTGTTGATTGCTTGACCTGTTGATCTCTTTCTGGTCGTTATTATAATTCTTCTTGATGTGCTTGTTCTTCTCAAATGTACAGATACTGGATGCAGAAGCATGAAATGAAAAAAGAACTGACAGTAAGACCTAAACTAGACTACGACAGCACCAAGATATGGATAGTTATAGTGCCTCTAGTGAGGCATCGAGGTGAAAGCAGGCGCTTGTCAAAATAGTGAAATCGAAGAAACTGGCATTTTTCTGTCCGTTTGGCAGTTATCATTTTTGTTGTTGTTGACTAAACACCTTTAAGATCCATTAAAAAACATTTCTCTGTGAATTTTACAGAACAATGTCGATTTAAGGCACAAAAATGTAAATTTGCAGTTTCAAATGACTTTCAAGCTTTGGAAGTTGCCATTTCCTCGCTAACTTTACCCCTGAAACCAGGCCACCCCCACCTCCTTCAATCTTAAATATCTCGACTTATATACAAGAATATAAGAGTATTTTTTCACAGAAAGCAAGACGAGTAAACAAGCTTTAAAATGATACCAATAACTTCAAGTCCAAGACTTGACCAGCGCCTGATTCCACCGTGTTGTGACACTTATATAAATACATTAATGGTTTGGATTTGTTTTCTCTTCCCATTTTGTTTCTTCGTCACTGTCACCACGCAAACACCTGCATTGTCCACATCTACTTATAAACATTCACCGTTTATTTCTTCCTCACTCCCTCTTCAGATGTCATCATCAAATAGAAGTTTATGTCATCAAAAGCCCTCTAACATCTCCGTCATCTGAGACTCTCAACATTCTTCAGAAAACCCCATCTCAGCTGTTTGCCGCTTTTCATTTTTTATTGTATATTATACTTACAACAAACTCAGATCTGCTTACCATGACACATTCATCTATCTTCTCTTTTTGTTCGTCATCCCAAATTCCCCCCCCCCCCAAAACCATACCCCACCCACCCCCCCTCCCACCCACACACCCCCACACCCCCCCCCACACCCCCCCAAAACCGCTCCCCAAAAACACACGGGTATGTGGGAGGAAAGAAATTTTATTTTTCCTCTTACTAACAGATTCCACCGTTTCTTGGCACTCCATTTTTCTGCATCCAGCCCCGGTGACATCGTCAGACGGGTGCCCTTTCGCAAGAAATTCTACTTTTCGCCTTGGGAGGGGTATAAAGGATGACGAACACTTGTTGACAACAGTCTCTACTGAAAAGATCTCTTTTAATGATTCAAAACAAGTTCATTCATAAGTCATACATGTATTTCAAAGGCAGTGAGCTTCCATTACTGGAAACAGATCCGTCTATCTTTCCTTCTACGGGTAATGAGTAAACAGAAAAAAACACATAGAAATGGAGGCATATATTCGTAGGATAAGCGCATGTTTTCTTTTTGTTTTTTTTGTGTTTTTTTAATTAATTGATTGATAAATTGAATGTAAATGTTCTAAGCCCCCAATAACACAATCAGAACATCTGGGAGGCATGTTACTTCGGCCACGCCTGTCAGAGCCAGCATGGGCAGACTAGAAAATAACATCCAAGCTGACAGGCGGAGGAACCCTATAAAATGTCTCTTCTGAAATCGAACTCATGTCTTCTGTATTCAACAGCCAAAACCCTACCAGTATAATGATGATAAATAATAATAATAATCATAATAATCATAATAATAATAATAATAATAATAATAATAATAATAATAATAATAATAATAATAATAATAATAGTAAAGATCACCTTTTTTGCGACCACTCCCTAATGTTTTCTTATGAGAAGAAGATGGAGAAAGCAGAGTGAACTAATATGGGATACTGGGACAGAGCATCTAGTGTTAGTGGAAAGACATAATAAAAATGTCAAAGCTTGTGTAGAAACATACACACACACACACACACACACACACACACACACACACACACACACACACAGGTCAATGCATTTGATTCTTAAACACACAGTAACTGTAATTTCCCTTGTTTTCGTTTCAACCAAGGGTGAAACTTTATGGATTGTCAGCGATCAAAGCATTTGCCAAGCATGATAAAGCTTACTTCTTTTCGCTTATCAGGTATCGTTTATGTGTGAATGTGTTACGAGCAGTCAGGGGACGAGGTCAGATAAACGTATTATGCATTATTTACCGATTACACCTACCAGACTATACACGAAATTGAAGCGACTGGAGCCAGTATTGATTAGGCAGTGTCAACGCCCAGCTTGACATCTTGACCAACCTAACTTCAGATTGTGAGCCCTGTTTTGACGATAAATGAGAACTCGCAGAAGAGGCGTTTATCAGTTTATGGACCTGGAGCTGAAAGAATAAAGAAATTCCACGTTTGTTTTGTCTGAAGGATTCGCCCTTGAGGGAAATAAATGTGAAATGGTATAGGTTTAACACCACTATCAAATGTATTAAGTTATTTAAGAAGCGGGAACTCCGAGTTTAACATCCATCTCCGAAAAGACTGAGCCAAATAGGACATGCGTAAAAAGTGTCTTTCCCTAGACGTCGGACTGAGTTGAGGCTCGAACCCCCGAACCCGCAATCTCATGATTTAGGGCCCTGTCGACTAGCCACTGGGCTACAAACGCCACTCCCTTACGGAAAAAGGTTGACAACGCAAAAAATATCAATACTGAGTTTGTGATTGTGTTATCAGAAGTTTGTAAAATGTGATGATAAAATCATTAAAAAAACACCAAAAAAAACCAGTAATGGCTAATCGAAGCATCGTCGATATCTTTGTTATGTATAATCTTTCACTTGGATCAGAGTACTTGAGGAATACTGTTGATAGCCAAACATTTGTTATACTAAATAGATTATACTGAAATGTCCTTCCATAAAAATGATCTACGATATGTGTTTTTAACAGTAGGCGGCTTATAAAATTTCCCACATGTCTCAAAGTCCACTGGAATTTTATTTTTTTAATTATGAGTTTTAAAGTCAATTGTGCTGATGTGGAAATAACAATATGCTTTTTTTACCAAACCATAATTTATTTTTCTTTATTTTTTAATATATTTTTTTTTAAATATAGGTCTTAGTTTTTTCTAAATTCCCATGGACACAATTTAGATCATTCAGGAGGCGGGACTGCCAAGGCCAACCTGGGCTGAGTATACCAGAGCCCAGAAAAGAAAACCTTGATTACCAATAGAAATTCTCTCGAATTCGATTCTTCTGCGTAACCACTACACCACAGGTGCCGGTTAGCTTGTTTCGTCGTCACATAAGAATGATAATGTTTTGACTGGAGAAGAGCCTTTACACATGTCGTTAGACAAATTCACTTGTAAATATAAGACATGAATAAGGCAAATATATCCAACGGTTGAGCATTATGAACTGCTTTTTGGTTCTCACAACGATGTGTACATTTATAAGGCGGTTAATATCCTGAAGCAGCATGATTCCCCTCTCTCTCTCTCTCTCTCTCTCTCTCTCTCTCTCTCTCTCTCTCTCTCTCTCTCTCTCTCTCTCTCTCTCTCTCTCTCTCTCTCTCTCTCTCTCTCTCTTTCTTTCTCTCTTTCAACACAAACAATATATAATATCCATGCTCAGTTTCTCTCTCTCTCTCTCTCTCTCTCTCGTTCCTTATCTCCGGCCCTGTCTCTCTCTCTCTCTCTCTTTCTCTCTCTTTCTCTATCAATCTCTATTTCTCCTCTCTCTCCCCAATCTCTCTCTCTTTTTTTCTCTCTCTTCTCTTTCTCTCTCTCTTCAGTTTTTCTCCTCTTCCTCTGGCTCAGCTATTCTGTCCACCGACTCTAGAGATGTCTCCAGTTCAAGCTTGTCAAATCCTGCGTCGGACAAAAATTCCTCCGCAGCCATTGTGTAACAGCTATCTAGAGTCTGTGAAGACAAGAGAGTGGAAACAGTTATTTGTTGGTTTAGCCCCCCCCCCCCCAAAAAAAAAAAATAAATAAATAAATAAATAAAACCCAGAAAAAAGAGGGGGGGGGGGTCAACACGGAGTCTGTCTGTCTGAAGGCGTTGTATAATTAATACTGTACTCTGATTACTTGGTGTATTGTGGCATGATTGTGAGAATAGTATACTTCACAGGACAGTGATAGACAAGTGCATAGCATGCAATTATTTGCTTAGGTTTCCTTGTTATAAACCAGCCACACAGTATAACCTGAGACAGACTGATGATATGTGATAAGAAGAAAAAAAAGTTCGATTTCAACAAGGGAAACGTTTACCTGTGCTGTGAACAGTAACAACAAAGAGACCATGTCGGCCTTTATTGTAGCTCAAATAAATATTGCTCCAAGGTGCTTTATACAATAACATGTCGTTAGCGAGAAAAAGCAGTCTGTAAAGAGTGATCGCAGACAAATCGGAAATTGCACTGACTGGCAGGCCAACAAAGACAACAAAAACATCACGTTGCCTAACATAATTTTTTTAGGAGAGAGAAAAAAGTGTTTTATACTTTTAACAATTGTAAGTACATTATGTATCTTTTCTTGCTCTTTTTCAACATTTAGAATTTGAATTTCGACAAAATATTCCTTGAGCCCATGCAACCGATAACACATATTAAGAAACTGCACCTCTATTTTTTAAATTAAAATTTTGGGCTCAGTACATCTGAACACATGGCCGACGATACGTACCTCTCTGGACATGGCAGCACTTTTGAGGGCTACCTGCACAGCATGGTGGATGGTGGCACAGACGTTGCGACGGTATACGTGTTGGTAGAAGCCTGACTTGTCCAACATTACACGAACTGGGGCTGAGAACATGTAGACATCGGTACAGGGTTAATTTTCCAAAATATTATAAGTAAAGCAAGTTAACATGCAATGATCATTTCTTTTTCCCTATGAACCGTTTAAAAGAACATGTCATTAAGAAAAGTAAAAGCATATAACATTATTACACAAGTAGCTGCAAACCAACTTCCCACCCCCACATACATACTCTTTCTCTCTTCTTTGTTTTCGCTCTTTCTCTCTGTCTCTCTCTCGCACCTAACATACAAACACACTCTCTCTCTCTCTCACACACACACACACACACACACACACACACACACACACACACACACACACACACATACACATACACACACACACACATACAAGTGCATAGGCGGAAATCGAATGGAGTGTTTGAAGATGGAAGTACCCTTATGAGTGTGTGTGTGTTTGTTACTTTTTTGTTTGCATGTTGCAGTTTTGCCTAAGAGAAAACCCAACATCAAAAAAATCCGTGAGTCCTAACAATTTCATGCACACGTTTGAAACTGACAAGAAAGATTTAAGCCAATAATAATGTCTTTTTTTTTGCTAGATTAAAAAACAACGTCTCTAGCAACGCTGTAGTCTACATACGTGTTAAGCTTTTACTATGTCTTAACTGTTCCTTTAAATAATTAAGTCAGTCAACCGAATTCCGTAGCGATGCAACACATTTTCGCCTTCCTACTTTGTAAAGTTCCTGCCATAGAATTACAAAGTTCTATCTGACATGTTTGTCTGTTTTGAGTTACTAAGACCATGGGGTTAGAAATGAAAATATGTTCTATCTTCTCTATCAAAAGGGTAAGATTATTTGGAGTCGTTACCAAGATATTCAAAGAATTTCATTTGAAAAAGCTTGACATATCAGGAAACTCAAATATTTTAACGTCAAATTTCTCAAAACTAGGTATTGAGCAGATAGAACTTTGTAATTATAAAGTAGCGAAGTGTTCAGCGAGTCTTTTAGTGGGAAAAGCAATCTGTGAAACTAACCTTTGCATTCCCCCAGAAAGATCTCAATATCAACCTGTCGAAACTCCAGGACAATCTGAAACGCAAAATGTAGACAAACAAATAATCATGAAGTGCCAACCAGCTCTGCAACAGACACCGGTGATCATGGTTCCCCGTTCATTCTTTTGCTTGGATGCTCCCTCAAAAGCTACAGTTCTCTAATCTTCCCCCGTCACTCATCGATTTAGGCTCTCCAGACTAGACAAACAATAATATGTATCTCAATACTACTGCAGAATTATTTACCCATAGGGCTAATGAAATTCCATAATAATCTAAATACCCGTTAACGTATCTGAGCATACACTTTGCAATACTCTCTGAGGTTCGGTTCGCAACGGAACCCGAACTGATCTCTCTTCAGTACTGTTAGGTTAAAACAGCACTTTGACCACTTTGACATGGATGGCTGGTGCCTCTATAAATAAATTAATTATTGAGGATGGTCAGTCCCGTTAGTGAAGTGAGCTGAACCAACTACAGGCTGGTAGCAATTGTTTCGATATAACTTATTATGTTGTTTTTTAAAATTAATTATGACAGCAACAAATTGTCTAACACTCATACTAAACACAATGAGCCAGTTAAAATATTAAATGTATGCCGCTGTAAACATAGTATGTGTTTCGCCGACGTTCACACTTCTCGTCTATGTTTACGTTAAGGCTCAATAGGCTAGTTGCCCTTGACAGAAATTAATGAGTTTCCAGACACCACACCAATCAACCC